GCTCTACTCAGTATCTTCTTCAAATGTCTTCAACTACTTGATTCTGTCTTGGTCGTCCCCTGCGTGTCTCTGAGCTCTTTTCACTGCTCTGGCTGCTATACCTCTTTTTCTTTGGGTCTTTTGGGTCAGAATCAGAGTCCATGTCAGAAACTTTTGCCCTTCCTCTTGATCTGCTTGTGTTCGATGTCGCTTTGTCACTCCTCTCCTCTTCCTCCTCTGTTGGGTCAAAAGATATTTCACTTGCGGTCGGCTCATCCTCACTTTCTTCAACACTGTAATGTGTTCTCTTTAACTTGCGCCCCTTTACTTTGGCAGTCATAGTTTTTGAACGCTGGCTTTCTGCATTTCTCTTCGGCCTTCCTATGGGTCTACCTGTGCTCCTCCTTTTCTTCTTTTTGGCATATTTGTTCTCTCCTTTTGCACCGTCTCTTCCTCGTCATGTTCTTCGTCTACATTGTCATGCCCCGAGTTTGTCCCTTTCTGGTTCTCATTCTCCTGAGCATCAACGGTGTCGCCCACAGTTTTTTTTTTTTTACCCCTCTTCCGTGCACATCCAGAGCCCGGTGTGTGGTAGCGCTGGACATGACTCTTCAAGCTCACGTTGTGGTTGAAGCTTTTGTCGCAATGCTGACACTTGTAGGGCCTCCCCTGTGTGCAGACGCATGTGGGATTTCAGGTGGCTCGCCTGGTTGAAGCCACGTTTGCACACCGAACATTTAAACGGCTTCACTCCCGTGTGCACAGATAAGTGTCTCTTGAGAGGCCCATGGCGGTTAAATTCAATCCCACAGATGTCACATTTTAACTGCTGGGGGCCTCTGTGATCCACAAGGTGTATTCTGCGATCCTTATTTGAGGCAAATGTCTCTGAACAGTCAGGGCACTTGTAGGGCTTTCCTTCAGTTAGATGGATCTGCTGGTGAGTGATTTTGTCCACCTTTGTTTTGAATGTAACGTGGCAGTATTTACACTGATGCTCATAGTTTGCATCATGGATTCTGCTGTGAGAGTTGAGAGCGACCTCACTAACACATCTTTTTCCACAAATGTTGCAAGGATAGGGTTTACTTTTGTGCTCACACGTGTGAGGCCACCGTTTGCTGAAAAACATCCCGCAATCTGTGCAGAGCTCCCTATGATGGGTGGCAAAGTAAGAATAATCACCTTCGTAATCGCTTTCCTCCTCATCGGATTCATCATTAAGAAGCTCGTTACCCGATGAAAGCTCCACTGGATTCCAATCTTCGTCTGAATCACCTTCATCACCCGACTCCTCCGTTTCACACATGGGATCACTCTCCTCATTGGTAGCAGCAGCAACATCAGAGACACGTGTGATAGTGCTGTGGTCGTGATCAGTTGACACTGTCTGTGAAAGATATGACAATAAATGGATTAATGTAACACTGTCAAAGTCTGTACAGGGTGAATATTAGAGCCAAATGAACAAAGAGATGCCAGCACAGACGCATTAGGATTTTTGATACTAACTGACCTATTTATAGGTCTGCAACTGACAGTCATTTTCATTTGGGGCAGCTGTGGCTTAGAGGTTCTAATCGGGCAATCAGCAGTTTGATGGACCCGCATGTTCGGCTGAATCGCACTAGGGTTCGTTCATCCCCTTGAGGATTATTTTAAAAGCTAAACCACTAATGAATCCATCTGCTGACTGTGAAATGTGTTCAAGAAGCGATCTTATAATAGATCTGTATAAGCCATGTTTAGTAGGGGTGTGAAAAATTTAATTTTAGATGCATCGCAATGTCAACTTGGATGATTCTGAATCGATTCACAAATGTCAATAATCGATTGTCTAAAGGGTAATGGATAACATAACAAATAAAGGCAGAACTCAAAAATGCGGAAGTTTAGCTCCCTGTTCGGCAAGGAAGGCAGCTGTTGAATGAATAACTGCCGTTACTAAACTTTCCCAGGGTCATTAAAATCAATGCACAACTAACATTAATGATTTTCACCCACACACTGTGCAGTAACGCTTAGCTAGCGCGCTCTCCTCATTCTTCAAAGGACAGCTACGTGTCGGGCCGCATAAGTGACGGTGAAAGCGAGCAGAGCAGAGGAAAATATGAGCGCTAGGTTTCAGTCTGGCAATAAATGTACAGTGTAGGTCACAGTGTGTCCGTTAATTAAAGTCTGTCTGTTGTTTTCCAACTGTTGGAAAAATGAAGGCGGTTAGCGCCAACATCTCCTCCTCAGACTGCGGTCTGGAAACTGAGCAGGAAGTGTTTTAGCTGCTAGTTCAAGTTCATTTGTTGTCATTCATCCACATATCGAGTACACAAATGAACGAAATGCCATTTCTCAAGGCCCATGGTGCTCAATACAAGATCACAATAATGAACTTAAAGGAAAAGACACAAACTTGTAACTACACTAGACAAAAAAAAGAGAACAGCTTGAGCATTGTAAAGTGCTTAGTTCAACCTGTATTTTAATCTACTAATAACAACAGCATCAGAAATGAAAATAGCAGCAACAGAGGTCAGTAATAATTCTGCAACAATGCTATGTAACATTAGCTACATTTATATGAAGTTACATTAAACAGCTGCATTTCATTACTACCTACTTAGTTGGATAATTACAAATACTTTGCTTTAAAAGTACCAAGCAGTCACACAGTCAGAAAAATACATCTTTATTATTTACAGCTTTTTATTGTTCAAAATGTGTACTCTGTGTACTTTACCAGTGACCCAACATTAAGCCCCGAATCATTCCTGTACTGCTTTTCGTCATGTTTCTGTGTCATTATTCATAATATGTGGTCGATTTGCAGTCTAATATTACTAATTATGCTTATAATGACATTTGTCTTTGTGAGCTCTTTGCGATACACATCAGAGGCAATAAAGTGTGACATAAACTTTTGTCAATCACCAAAATTTGACTTCCCCATGTGGGTCCTGATGATGTGCCTATGATGCAGGATGATGATCGCCAAAACTATCTAATAAATAAGTTACCCGTCAGTCTGTATAACTTCAAGGTTTCTCCGCTTGGTTCGTTTGTAAAAATGCAGTGTGAACATTAACCGTACCAGAACTAAAATGCAACAGTTTATAATTTTTTTCCCCTTGGTCCGGATCAAATGAACCAATCTACAGGTGTGAAATTCACTGACAAGCTGTAACCTACACTGTGTATTTACTGCTTGCGCCTGCCACTCGCTTTGCATTAAGGTATGAAACAATTGATACTGCCCAAGCCAAGTCCAAGGTCACGTCTTCCAATGTTTTGTCCCAGCAAAAGCCCAAAATCCAGAGACAATCAGTTTACAGTGATATATGACCAAGAGAAGATGAAGAAATGAGAGTGAAGCTTACTCATAACTGGATAATACTGACCAAGAGGAATTAGACCATGCAAGCTAAAATGAGGAGTCCACACCAAAGAGAGAAGTCTGTTGAGCCACGCAACACTATTCCAGCAGATCCAGGCATGATGTGTCAGGTAACTTTTACTGGCTTGCCCACGGATATTCAGCTTACTTTCTAGTTCACCAAGACATGCTGTTGTTGTGATGTTAGCTCTAACAGCAGGAGAGCTGTGAGTATCGCGGTTTGGAGCTGCTGTGCTGCTCTGGGACCATCTCGTCCTCGTTAGCTTTGCAGCAGTAAGTAGCAACAGTTTGCTAACCCACAACCAAGCTAACGTTAGTTACATTACTTGCTGTGTCATTGTTCACTCTATATGATATGATATTTGTCATGTTTTCGGATTTCTCCAGAATCACATAAGTTATCACACCTTTATGATGCAGCAAAATATCACCAGTTAATGTTGGAAATTAACTCAGTAACAGTAACTAATTATATAATTTATTGAGTTTACAAAAATAGGATATATCGTTATTGGGATATGAAATTTTGTGATATCGCACAGCCCTATGTTGTAGTAAGTCTTACCTGGGTCTCTAGAGTCACGTCTATACCTCCTGTCAGGTGTTGATCTTCAGCTGTTGGGACGCTGGCATTGACTTGGCTTTTCCACTGGTTTCTGTACTCACACTGAAGGCACTGTTGGTTCAAGATGAGGAGCACCCCACAGGTGACCTTCTCCACCTTTACTTTAGAACCACATAACGGGCACTTGCGCCCGAACAACTGGAGGAGTTGGCTTTCATTCACGACATACTTCCCTTTCATCTGTAGAAGTGCAGCTCTGAAAAACAATTTCAACAAAACATTATGAGAATCAGGTTTAAAAAGCTAACCAACTGTAATTGATGCACAACTGCTCAGAGATATTAACTCACTTTTCCCTGATCATATCAATGTTCACAACATTTTGTAGCATCTGACCATAATCAGGCATGGAAACATCTGAAGTATCACTTGGCACTGGGCTCTCTGGGGCAGCTGCAAATTAAATTTAAATTTAC